ATTTTAATTCTTTACAGTAAATCCTCCCTGGTCCAATAGCTGCTGTGGTTTCTGCCTCCTGAATGGACACTTTCACACAACACAAACCACAGTTCTTGGCGTTCGGCCCCCCTACTCCCAACAACCACACCCCACCTCTTGGGATTGCCGGATGGGAGCAGAGCAGGGGTGCTACCACTGGAGAATCCCCCAAACTCTGCTCCTGTCCCTGGGCCCTGGGCAGCACCCCATCCCCTCTCTAGGTCCAGCCACTCACACCGCGCCCCCCCACCACCCATCCAGCCCTACAGCCCCAGCTGCACACCGTGGGCCTTTCTGTCTTTGAAGGATGTGGCCACTTCTGTGCTCAGCCAGCCCTGAGAACACCTGCTAGAGAACCCATAAGCCCGCCCTGGGAACAAGAAGGCTCGCCTGCCCTCTTGGCTAAGAGATGGGAAGATGCCTCTCGGCCTTTGAGTCGGCTACCACATAAAGAGTGAAGAAAGAAGGTAATATCCACACAACTGCTTTACAACACAAAGAGGCCGAGACTTACCTAAAGCACACTGATACAACCCTTTAGCATACTGATTTGGGAACCCTAAATGTGAGACAGTATCAGCTTTAGGAGCTGGGCGGATGTAGGTGCCCATGGTGGGGGTGGGGAGTGGAGGTGCTAGCCTCAACTCCAAACTTCCCTTCCCTTCTCTCCCCGCCCCATCCTACCCACCCCCACCCTCAGCCTTTCTTCTGGAACAGGGGTTTTCAAGCTGAAGATTGCAAAATCAATTTAGTGCATAGCAATTAGCAATTTTTCAAATTACAAAATAAAGTAGAAAATTGCAGAGTACATCAAAATCTAAAATAAAAATTGTCCCAAAGCTGATCTAGGGAAAATCTTTTATTTTTTGCTTTTAGCTGATGTAATTCTGTCTCCTTTTAGGAAAAAAAAAATAGCATGCATGATAAAATGCTTAAGCAATGTATAGATAAATTTTAATAGCATTAAGATTTGTTCTGGGAAATTAGTTACCCACTCACCCAGCCAGCTGTCTTCAGTCAGGAGCCCAGTGACCAAACAATGGCTGACAGTTCTTTTTCTCTAAAATGTCCCTTTCAAGAGGAGATCTGTGAATTGGTGCACCAGGGGCCTTTTTCTTGGCTTGCAAGGTTACAGTCATACTTTTCCACGTGCTAACTAATGCAACAGAAAAGTATTCTTCAGCAGCATAAAGTAAGGGTAGGTATTGTTTCGGGAAAGTTGTATTCAAGCCCCTCTGGCCAGCCACCAGCCGACACAGCCTGCAGGCCTGCCCTGAGCCCCCAGCCATCCGCCACGAGGAGGAGGGAAGCAGTTCTTGTCAGGTTTGGATTCTGAGGAGGGCCCACAGAAAACGAGGATCAGTTCTGGAGTGGTTGCCGTTTCTGAGAAGGAATCAGAAGCAGGGGGGAGGGGCGCCTGGGTGGCTCAGTTGGTTAAACCGCTGCCTTCAGCTCAGGTCATGCTCCCAGGGTCCTGGGATCGAGCCCCACATCGGGCTCCCTGCTCAGCAGGAAGCCTACTTCTCCCTCTGCCTGCCGCTCCCCCTGCTTGTGCTCTCTCCCTCTCTCTCTCTCGCTATCTCTCTCTATGTGTCAAATAAATAAATAAAATCTTAAGGGCGCCTGGGTGGCTCAGTTGGTTAAGCGACTGCCTTCGGCTCAGGTCATGATCCTGGAGTTCCAGGATCAATCCCGCATCGGGCTCCCTGCTCAGCAGGGAGTCTGCTTCTCCCTCTGACCCTCCCTCCTCTCATGTGCTCTCTCTCTCAAATAAATAAAATCTTTAAAAAAATAAAAAAATAAAAAAAATCTTAAAAAAAAAAAAGCAGCAAAGGGGACTGCCTAGGGATGGGGGACGGTCACTAGGTGAGCGGCTTAGCATTGGGGCACCCCCACTAATCGCTGGGAATTGCAAAGTCTGTCTAGGGGTACCACTGATAAGAAAGAAGCAGTCGCTGAGAGGGGGCTGTCATGCTCTCTTACAACTGCCACATGTCCTTGGGAGGGAAGCCTGTTTTCTGCTACCCTTGCTGTAGGCTCCGGGTCTAGCCTGACTGAGTGTTGGGCTGTTGTTTTCTATTTCAGTCTGAGTTGATTTTTATTCTTTCAGTCCCAAATAGGTCTTTCCTTTCCTTTCCTTTTTTTTTTTTTTTTTAAAGATTTATTTATTTGAGAGAGAGAGTGCAAAATCAGGGGGAGAGGGAGAGGGAGAAGTGGGCTCCCAGACTCGATCCCAGGACCCCAGGATCACGACCTGAGCTGAAGGCAGACACTTAACCGACGTGGCCCCCCAGGCACCCCAGGTCTTTCCTTTCTCGGTTGCACTTACAAATCTCTGTGTACCCAGTCATGATATAAAATGTATTTCTTACTGTGGGTCAAGGTTAATAAAAAGCCACCATCTGGTAAACGGCTTCCTAATCTTTTCAATGTTTTGGCACACATCAAAAGTGATTCTTTGTTCAGTACAAATGGTATTTGTTCTGCTCACTGGGGCAAATACATGATGCTTCCTGGGGCTTCAGAGGTGACTGGGCACTGGCTGTCCTGGGTGAAAGAAGCAGTATGTCAGGCCCACTCGGGCTCCTGCTTAGCACACCACTCAAGAAGCTTCCCTCTGGAGAATAGGAACTATTACAGTTCAGCGAAAAGTGATCATTTCTGGAAACACAAAGAGTCTATGTGGACTCCAAGGCAGGAGAGGTCTGAGGTCTGAGGTCTGAGCCCTGGGCCCAGATGGGGCACTTTGCTGCTGACTTGGTTCAGTAATGAACTGCCCTTGAGCCCCTCAGCGTGGGTCCTGGAAACCACTGGCCCCCTTCACAGCTGGGAGTGACTCTAACAATGTGTTTACATGGTCATATATTTTAATTTTGTTATTATTATTATTATTATTTTTTAAGATTTTCTTTTTTTTTAAAAGATTTTAAGTAATCTCCACACTCGACGTGGGGCTCAAACTCACAACCCTGAGACCAAGAGTTGCGTGCTCTACTGACTAAGCCAGCCAGGTTTCCCACAGTCATATGTTTTTATTAAACTTGCAAAAATTGGACATTGAAGCTGGAACCAACTGAGCATGCTAGCTCTTCTCCATTCTGACTTCCTTTTCAACACATTTCCTCTCCTGTCAGGAGGCGTAAATGTGGCCACAGCTATGTATACTGTGTATTCATGATTGTGTATTTTAGTTCTGAACAAAGCCTCCAAAAGCTGCAATAGACTCTGCCACCGATGATGGAGTTGCGCAAAGGGGTGGGGGTGGGACTGGACTGTTTCCCCACCTTCCCTTTTATGGTCCTCAAAGCAATCATTCTTACATAACCTTTACTGGGTGGATTTTTGCTTTCTTTTTGAAATGTGTTAATAATATCTAGAATGTGCACAGTAAACAATTAAACAGTATGAGGAAGTATACAATAGACGGAGGCACCAGCCCACCCCAATTCCCAGACCCACGTCTCGATGGGATAACGCCAAAAACAACGTCTGGGGGCTCTTCCCAGAAATTTTATATCTAGATCTAGATCCTAATTTTAATACAAGCGAAAGTTTTTTGTTTTTTGTTTTTTTGCAGAAGCATATTCATACACGTGTTTGTACTTAACAGACTGGTACTCTTTCTGTATCTGCACATAGAATTTGCCTTCATTTTTTTTTTTAAACAAGGGCATAGGCTTCATGTGCCAAAATTGATTTAACTACTGGGGCAGATCTTATGTCCATTCATTGCACTTGTCCTGCAAGGTACCACCTGCTTGTGCTTAAGACTTCATAGAAGGCTGTTACATGTCTCAATCTTTCTGGGTTTTGATTCCTCACCTAGGAAATCTCTTTCAAGAGATAAGTCAAGCAGGTAAGTCCCCATCTTGGCCATCACGTGTCAGGGAATCAGCTGTCTGCTTAAACTCAAACTCTGATCCCTTAAGATTAATGATGCACCAGCCCCACCACGTGGGGAGTGACACCCCTCCTTCCTCCCCCCCTCAAAGATCCGCCTCGGAGATGGGGGTAGTTTATACAATAACTACGGCTGCCCAGGGGCGCCGCCCAGTGCTGGGTCCCAAGCTGAAATGAGTCAGCTCTATTTTGTGAGCCATATAATGAGGCTGCAGGTCTCGCCTTGTGCCTAGTTCCATTCAATTACTGCGAGTCTTGTTTAAATCTTCCAGCTGGGACGCTGCAGGGCGGGCCGGACTGAAAGCCAGAACGTTCTAGAGGGAGCAGCGCCACCGCGAGGCCAGCTGCGGTGGAGGCGGCCGGAAGGTGGGGGCGCTCCCGACCCGACAATGGGTTTGGTGGAGGCGTCAGATCGGGGCACGGGGTTCCCCTCCCCACACGGACATTCTCATCCCCAACCTCGGAGGGTCTGGGTCTGACTTCATGACACGGACATAAGTTTTTTCTGACTCCTCTCTGCCAGCCCGCCAAGCCCATCAGCCCACCACGTCCTGGAACCGGGCCTTGCACTCATCCACAAGGCTACAGTGACTACCGAATCCAGGGCAAAATCATAGACTCAGGGTTCCGCAAATGCTCTTTGAGCGAATAAAGACGCCCCAGCAAGTGACTGTTCACTATTCCCCACACCGGTTTAGATTACTACCCTCATTCTGTGAGTATGCACTTTTGTGCTCAGGGCCTCTACGATTAATTCCCCTGTGGCGTGTCCAACTGTTTATTCCTGTCCCTTTGAGGACGGGAGGGGCAGTGGGCAATGCGCAGGCCGATTAGTTATGGAATTAGGGGAGTCAATCCGGGCCTACGGTCTGGAAGACTACGAGTTCCAGAATGCATCCTTCAACTAGCGTAGGGAAAAGCCGATTGAGGGAGAATTGCCTTCGGGGAATTGTAGTCTTCAGCTTGTTTGTGATGCAGGCGGAACTGGGCGGGGGGGGAAGCGAGTAAACTATTACCACGTGACCCTCGAGATCAGGTGGTTGGGCCAGGTTCCACGCAAGAGCTGTGATTGGCTGACTCTAATACGAACGACGCCACTAGGGGCGGGCCCTAGAGGGGCGCAAGCGCACTGCGTTGGGAGTCTCGGGACCCTTTTCCGAGAGACTATGGCGCTCAACAAGAATCACTCGGAGGGCGGCGGAGTGATCGTCAACAACACCGAGAGGTGAAAACACTGCGGAAGGATCCTGGAGGAGGGAAGGGCGGGTGTGGGAGGTGGGCCGGTCGGCGGTCGGGGATAAACCCGTGAACAGGCTAAACTGTCGGGGTGCGGTTTGGGGGGGGGTAACGGCTGGAGGCGGGGCCGGAGGCGGAGGGTGGGTCGCGGAGGAGCGGCTGGGATGTCGCGATTAGCCGTGGGATGGGGGGGTGAGGCAGCTGGAGGGGGACGGGGCTTGGGGAGACAGGTGGGGCCCCGGGGTCGATGACTTCAAGAGGTGGGAAGAGCGTTAGATAAAAAATAATTGCCACTTTTTGAGCGGTTACTACGTTACTACGTGCCAGGCCGTGCTCCTCTTCTACTTTAATATGTTTAAAGTGCGGCGCGGCGGGTCATACTATTCAACGCATTTTACAAGTAGGGAAACTGAGGCACAGAGGCTTAAGTAACTTGCCTGAGATCACAGAGCTGTAAATAACGCAGATGGGATTCCAGGAAAGGCGTCTTTACTCTAAAGTCAATAGGCTTAACTACAGTACATAACTTTCCAGTATATTCCAGAACTGCTGAGTTTCCAGATGAGAAACTGAGGCCCAGAGGTGCAGTTAAATAGATGTTTTTCAGATGAACACATTTCCTGGCACGGTGTCCATCCTTGTGTCTTTCTCTTGAATGCCTGTTGACTTAGGTCACTTCCCAGAGCAGAGGTCTTCCAGCCGCTGTCTTTCTTCCCCACCCCTTGCCCCCCCCCCAATCAATTCTGTCCTCTCTTCTGTCTCGGGACTTCTCGGGGGCTTCTCTCTTGCTCCTTGGGCACAGGGAATTAAACCATCTAGCCTTGGTTGAGCTACGCTGACCCTGAAATGCCTCTTGAAGGCAGAAGGCTTATGAGGAGTCTGAGTCCCCAGAAGAGACTTGGTGGGATCAGAGCCTTATAGCCAGCCAGGGCCAGCACCCAGGAATGCTTGATGAGTCAGGAGAAAGCCTGGGATGCTCCTGGCTTCCGAATGCTGGCGTTCCCTCAATTTTACCTGCTCAGGGTCTGCTGGACCAGCCTGTTCCTGGTATGACCTCTTTTTTCTGAGCTCTACTTCTTAAATATATATATATATATATATATTTTTTTTTAAGATTTATTTTAGAGAGAGAGAGAGGGCCCATGTGAGCTCAGGGGGTAGGAGCAGAGGGAGAGGAAGAGAGAGAATCCACAAGCAGACTCCCATGTGGGGCTCAGTCCCAGGACCCTGAGATCATGACCTGAGCAGAAACCAAGGGTTGGCCACCTAACTGACTGAGCCACGCAGATGCCCCTCTGAGCTGTACTTCTCTTTTCTGGTACCAGTCCTCTTCCCCACTTACCTTCCCCAGTGAAGAAAGTTGTGATATTTGGGAGGAGGAGGAAGACAAATGGAACCATGTGGACTTGGATCTTGTTATCTTATAATCAAAGAAACCTCACATTGTTCCCGGTTTGTCTCTCTGTGTACGAGCCAGTCCCGGGCCTGGAAAAACACTTTTGATGCCATTTGGTAACATCTCCTGGGACTCCTTTTCTTTCTTTCTCAGTGGGACTTTGTGGGACAAGAATGTATCTGTCCTGGTGAGCCTCCTACCTGACTTCGGGCTCTGTGCTGCTAAATAATGGTGTGCCTTGTTTTAGAAAATGCTTCAGCCTCATTTCTGAAAAAAAATTGTGCGTACGGCAACTGGAGTTTAAATTAGTGTTTAAGGGCGCCTGGGTGGCTCAGTTGGTTAAGCCACTGCCTTCAGCTCAGGTCATGATCCTGGAGTCCTGGGATCGAGTCCTGCATCGGGCTCCCTGCTCAGCAGGGAGTCTGCTTCTCCCTCTGACCCTCTTCCCTCTCGTGCTCTCTCTCTCTTATTCTCTCTCTCTCAAATAAATAAATAAAAATAAAATCTTTAAAAAAAAATAAATTAGTGTTTAAAATTTCATGTGTAAAATTGTGAGCCTTATTCTTCAAGTGATGAATCCCTTTGAGAGTGATGAAAGCTGCAGATTCTTCCGGAAAAATGCACGGACATCATCATCTCAAGGGCTTCATGGATTCACACCCCTGCAGACCCAGTTTAGGAGCCTAGGTTTAAAGGAACCGTGACATCAGCCCTTTGGTAATGCGTAGAGTCATGCCTTACAGGGTTTATATATCAGTACTAATAAACCGATGAAAACAGACATCTATTATAGGGTCTCAGAAGAAAATGGGAGAGCTAACCCAGGTAGTCTAACGTGATTTGAGGGATGACGGTGTTACAGCTTTAATGCCCTTGGCTCTTCTGCTGTGGTCACCTGGGGGGTCTATATGTGGGGCTTGGGGAAATTCTGTAGACCCCCACCTTGCTCATCTCTTCCGAGGCTGTATTAATGGTTTCCTTCCAGTGGTGTCCAAAGAGGTTTGAGACCCGACGTGCTGGACACCTGCTTCCCAGGGGGCGGGGGGTGGGGGGACGGGGGTTGTCAGTCCCTGGGGAAAGCAGGTTATGGCTCCGAACTGGCTTATCAGGATCTGTCCTCGTTTCTCATCACAGCATCCTGATGACTTATGATCATGTGGAACTTACATTCAGTGACATGAAGAACGTGCCCGAGGCCTTCAAAGGGACCAAGAAAGGCACCGTCTACCTTACCCCGTACCGGGTGAGTCACACCGTGTGATGGTTTGAAAGCTTGTGGTTCCTGGTGGCTGATGGTGAGTGTTAGGTCAGCCTCGGCCTCATGAGCCCAGTGGCCTCTGAACCTGGTGAACGTTAGTTCCTCGCTCACCTTTCTGTCATATGCTCCTGGGTTCTAGAACCACCAGACTATCTGGGCAGCTGAACCGACCCCTAGGCATTGAATCCGTGCAAATTCCGGAACGGTTGCTGTGAAATCTATGTTGTTGGGTGCCGCTGCCCAGATGAGTTGGGCCTGGAGTGGGGAGGCTGTTAACGATTTTGATTTCTGTAAGCGCAGTGCATGAGGCCTTCGTGCAAGTCCAGAGGGACAAATGTGGTAAACAGGATACAGTAACATGGCCAGAGCCTCCAGGCTGGGCAGACAGCCCGGTACAGCCCTGCAGAGCCAGGAGTGCCAGACTGCAGCATGGGCCTTGCCTGAGAATGACCCAGGCCGACGGGAGCCTTCCAGAGAAAGACAAATGGCCATTCTTGGAAAAGGTTCACTGCCCATAACTACCAAGAGTTAGATTTAAAGATGGTTGGAAGAAAGGGGCATATCTTCAAGTTTTCATCACCGAGACTTAGCAGAGACAAGGGAGCCTCACAACCCCTTTTCTGGTGGCATCTTCAGTCCCAGATCAAAGGGTTTAAAAGAGGGTTTTCCGGGGCGCCTGGGTGGCTCACTTGGTTAAGCGACTGCCTTTGGCTCAGGTCGATCCTGGAGTCCTGGGATCAAGTCCCACGTCGGGCTCCCAGCTCAGCGGGGAGCCTGCTTCTCCCTCTGACCCTCTCCCCTCTCATGCTATTTCTCTCTCTCTCTCCCTCAAATAAATAAAATCTTTAAAAGAATAAGATAAAAGAGGGTTTTCCAGGTGTGGGGTGGGACACTTGCTGTGTGGGCAGCCCCCTTCTCCCAGGATCCAGCACCTCCTCCCCTCCTTCACTCTCCTTTCTGTGAAGCTCGGGCTACGCCTCCCCCTTCTGGAAGCCGGAATTCCCTCCCCCCCGCCTCCCTGCCCTAGCTTTGCGGCCCCCTTCACTTGCCCACCACATCCACCACTTAAATGGCAGAGCAGCCTGTCCCTCTCCCGTGCCCTGTGAGCAGCACGTTTTCCTCGTGAACACCCACATTAAGCCTCTCCAGCCAGGCTGCACGGAGAGCCTTTCACTTTTTTTTTTTTTTTTTTTTTATGTATGTATGTATGTATGAGAGAATGAGAGAGAGAGAGCACATGAGAGGGGGGAGGGTCAGAGGGAGAAGCAGACTCCCCGCCGAGCAGGGAGCCCGATGTGGGACTCGATCCCGGGACTCCAGGATCATGACCTGAGCCGAAGGCAGTTGCTTAACCGACTGCGCCACCCAGGCGCCCTCACTTTTTTTTTTTTTTTTTGGTAAATATTTTATTTATTTATTTGACACAGAGAGACACAGCAAGAGAGGGAACACAAGCAGGGGGAGTGGGAGAGGGAGAAGCAGGCTCCACGCTGAGCAGGGAGCCCGATGCGGGGCTCGATGCCAGGACCCCAGGATCATGACCTGAGCCGAAGGCAGACGCTTAATGACTGAGCCACCCAGGCGCCCCAAGCCTTTCACTTTCAGAGCTCTCTCCAGGAGCTTCTGGTGCAGAGCTTGCCCTGGTGCCGCGGGGCCCTGGCCCTGGGAGCAGACTCCTCACACACAGGAAGTGATAGCAGAGCGGGCCGGGCTGTGGTATGGGCACTGATGACTCTCATCCTGTCTCCCTGCAGGTCATCTTTCTGTCCAAAGGCAAGGATGCCATGCAGTCCTTCATGATGCCGTTTTATCTGATGAAGGACTGTGAGATCAAGCAGCCCGTGTTTGGAGCAAATTACATCAAAGGAACGGTGCAGGCTGAAGCAGGAGGTGGGTGATGGGGGCTCAGGGACGCAGACGGGGCTTTCAGAGAGGTGCTCTGGCCACGCCTCTGCTGTCTTGGAGACGTTCCTCTTCGGCTGTCTTAATCGCCCCCTAGCCTTGTTCTCTTCCTGGCTCTGGATTAGCTTCCAGGGCCACCCACCTGGGCTGCCAGCTGTTGAGCAGAGGTGGGCTTTTAACGACGAGAGCTAGGAGAGGCGAAGATAGCAGCTCCGATCAGCTTTTCAGGGTGAAATCGACCAAATGACTGAAAAATAAGTAAAAATGCTTATCGTGACCTGGGGAGTGTGTTCACATTTTAGGTATGGGAAGACCTGCATCAGGGCTGGGGAATGGCCTTTTCCCTACAGCCAGGAAGAGCCAGCTGCCCCTACCCCCCCCACCCCCCGCCAAGAGGCCCTGCTGGGTGGCGGGGTTTTTTGCAGACACCAGAGACCTCTGTGTTGAACTTGGCCTCACACCCAACCAGGTTGAGTCTTGCTGTCTAGGGGCTCACAGTTCCCCTTAGGCAGAAGCCAGGCTAGAGGGGCCAGAGGTCCATCCTTAGGCCCCTCAGGAGGAGGGATCTGCTCTGAACTTGAATGTCCCTTGTTGCTGAAGGAACGTGCTCCGGGAACCTGCTTCATTGAGGAGTGGGGGGTTCTAGTGCTGATGAACTTCCACGGCTGGGGATGGGATAACTTAGAAAGCTTGTTCGAAGAAAGAAAGTCCCCTGTTCCAAAGAGTGCCCTGTGGACTCGCTGTGTGGGCAACGCACCGAAAGCAGCCGGGCAGGAAGACGGGCACTGCAGAGCCAGCCCTCTCCCCCTCTCCCCACGGGCGCTGGACAGAGACCTGGAGAGAACAGAGAGCCATCTCTTCAGGTGTCACCTGGGTTCTTTTCCTGAGCTGTTGATGTCCTGTTCCCTTCCCAGGTGGCTGGGAAGGCTCTGCGTCATACAAGTTGACCTTTACGGCAGGGGGCGCCATCGAGTTTGGACAGCGGATGCTACAGGTGGTATCTCAAGGTATCGAGGCTCTGAGAGCTCGGGGTGAAGACATACTGAAATGTGTGGGTTTTAATTTGTTCGTTTGAGTTTGTTTACTTTTTGTTTTGTTTTTTAAGCACTCAAGAGATAAGTCTCTGGGCCCCAGGCCGACCGGGACTGGGAATTGGGAAGGAAACTTGTCATTAGCATCACTCTGGCCTGTACTTCAAAGGCTGGGTTTACCCGGCCTGGAGCCTGTATAGGACATTTGGACAAAGCTCTTTGAACTCCAGGACGTTTAACTATGGCCTCATAAAAATGAACAAGAAACCCGGCCATTAAGCTACCAAACGACAGACAGTTTAAATCACCAAGGGTTGTGTTCAGCAGACACCCTCACACTGTCCCCACCTCACCCCAGCTCCATCTGGGACCCTGTCTGCGAGCCTCCCTTTTTCTCACTGTCGATCCGTCCACCCCTGTCTGGACCTCCCCTGCCCTGGCCTCTCTCCCCATCTAGATCCCTCACTTCCTCCCCGACTGAGGCTGGCTCAAGCGTGGGTGGGGAGTGGAATGGGGCGGGGTAAGGCACGTCTGCTGTGCACATTCCTGGGACCCTGCAGCTCCCCTCGGTGGGCGACACTCATTTCTCTCTCCCCTTGTACTTATAGCCTCCCGAGGCGAAGCCCCCAATGGAGCCTATGGGTATTCTCACATGCCCAGCGGGGCCTATGTCTTTCCCCCGCCCGTCGCCAATGGAATGTACCCCTGCCCTCCTGGCTACCCCTACCCACCGCCCCCACCTGGTGAGTGTGTCCTTTGCTGCCCACCCCTCACCCCACCCACCCGCTAACCACCCCCACCCAGGTCAGGGGGTTGTTGAGGGGAGACTTGTTCTTTGAGCTGCTTCAGGACTAACAGAGGAGCTGGAGAGGCCCGGGAGGTGCCAGCTGAGGGAGCGAGGGCTAGGCTGCTCACTGGGTCCCTTTCACTCTCTTGCTGAGCAGAGTTCTATCCAGGACCTCCCATGATGGACGGGGCCATGGGGTATGTGCAGCCTCCACCACCACCCTATCCTGGGCCCATGGAACCTCCAGTCAGCGGCCCTGATGTCCCCTCCACTCCTGCAGGTGAGACCCTGGGCTGCTAACAGTCCTGGGGGGACCAGCCCTCTCCTCTCCGGGGCTGCATGGAGAGCCTCAGAGAACGGCTAGAGGTTGGCCAGGAAACCCAAGTGGTGAATGACCCCTGGCCTTGGACTAGTCCAGGGGACCGGCAGTGTGGTGGCTGCTGGTGAAGATCTGGATTCCAGCCCCCCACACTCTCCCCCAGCTAGCCCTGTGCTCTGGGGCAGGGAAGGTCTCCCTCTGTCGTCTCGTCAAGCACAACCAGAAGGTGGCGGTACGCCCTGTGGCTGGACTGTGGGGAGGATCAGGTCCGGAGAGAGGGCTGAAGGAACTGGAAAGGACCGGGTAGCACCAGCTTCCCGGAGCTGTGCCTGCCGGTAATCTCTGGTCTCAGCGCAGCTCCGGGGGCCGCTGGAAGAGGGCAGGGCTTGTCGCTGGAGCTTACCCTGAGTGTGTTTCTCTCGCAGCTGAAGCCAAGGCTGCAGAAGCAGCGGCCAGCGCCTATTACAACCCGGGCAACCCACACAACGTCTACATGCCCACGGTGAGCGGGGACGGGAAGCGGGCGGGCAGTGTGCAGGGGTCTGGGGGCGGGAGACCTTGTCTTGTCGTGGACCTTCTGATGAGATTTTTTTTCCTTCCTTCCTTAGAACCAGCCTCCGCCACCTCCTTACTACCCCCCAGAAGATAAGAAGACCCAATAGACCCCTCCTGCCCCTGCCTCCCATCCCTCATCACTCTTCCCTTCCCTTCCCTTCCCCTTGGGGCTGAGGCTGGGGCTAGGGGGGTGACGGAAGGGCCTTGTTCTTCCTCCAGGTCTGATTATAAAACACTTCGCAGGGACTGGTGTTGAGGGGAGGCGGGGGCCCCTTGACTTGGGAGCTGTGCCTCCCCGCTTCTCAAGCTAGCTCGGAGCCCACGGCGCCGCTTGGATGCGCTTCCCTCTCACTGTGTCTGGGGCTCTGCTCAGGAGCGTGGGCATCCATCTCGCTCCTGTCTTGCTCTAGTAGCTTCACGCCCATGGAAGGATTCTGGCCACCTCCTCTACCGCAGTCCAGCTCCCTCGTTTTGGAATCCAGTTTATATTCAGCCTTGTGACCTCCCTCAGACCAGCCTCGCGTCTTCCTGAGGGCCCCCGCCGGGCCCCCCTCACATCCCCTCCACTCTGGTCTCTGCCTCCCCATGGAAGGCCACATTCCAATCCCAGCCAGCCTCCAGCCAGGTCACGCTCACCTTCACCTCCCTGTCCTGTCCTTGGTCACCTGTTGCCACCACTTTGACTTTTGGAGCTTTAACTTGAGCTTCCAAGTGGTGGGCGGCACTGGGCTGGGCAGCTGCTTCCCTCCAGGTATTTTTGGCTTTTGTTTCCCTCTACCTTCTCTCCTTTCCCTCTAGAAGAGGCTTCTCAGACTGGAGAATGCATGTTCATTCCATCATACCGTTTGGGAGCTTCGGGGTGGGCTGGAACAGAGGCCCCTGACCTGAGCCTGTGTGCTGACCATGACCTCTCACCGGCCCCTCACCCTGCTCTCTTCCCTTTAAGCTTCAGGCCTAATTGGTGATATGCCCCCTGGATGCACTAAAATTTGCTCTCATTTGCTTCTGGACTGGCCGTGAAGTGAGGAGATGGTTATTTAAAGAGAATTCCCTATTTATTTGACAAAACAACAACAACAAAAACCCAGTTAATATATTAATGTGAAATAAACCCTGTTTGCACCTTGATTTGTTTGCTGAAAATGTGAAGTAGTAAAAATGAAGTGACTGGACCCTTCTGGCTCTGTGTGTGGTGACCAGTGTGAGCTCCTGGGAAAAGAGAACGGTCTGGCTGCTACGGCCCTGGGGGGTTCTGGGGAGACTGTTCCCTCCCCGTGTGAGAGTCCCTTGTTCCCACAGCACTTTGGGGCCCAGGACACTAAGGCCTCCCACAGCTCTGCTCAGTGGTGGTTACTTAGCAACTTGGCCCACCCACGGGGTCCCCTGGGGCCTGGGGCGGCCGACCAGCTGCCCTGGGCTGGAGGCCTTGGAGGCGGGTGCTGGCCTGCTGTGCTCACCACCTCAGGGAGATGCAGCCCTGGCCCGTCTCTGGCCACGAGGTGTTTGCGGGAGGAACATGTGTGGCAGTCTCTCCAGTGTGTGACTTCTTGTGAACCTCAGTGTCGGGGCGGGGGGGACGACACAGCTAGAGTCCTTCCCAGGGCCTAACGCCCCCCTCACCCCCCTGGGCCCTGGCCTGGAGGAGGGCTGTGGGCGTGGCACCAGTGGGTCTGGGAGCTCTCAGAAAGGCCAGCACTAGAGCACTGGGGTGTCCTCTTTCCTGTCGCTTCTGGCTGGGCAGCGCCGCCTCTCCAGCCGCTTCCTCTGGCCAGCCCCGCCCAGGAGCCCCTGGGGTTGGCCAGACCCCTACAAGGGCATCTGAAGGGAGCACCTCCTGACCGGTCTTGTGGGGGCGGGGGCCGCAGGGCTGTCTCCACCCAGCATGGCTTGGCCCCATCACCTTGGTGGAATGTCACCTGTGGGGTGGAGCAGGCCGAGCAGTTGGCCGCCTGCTGCGGAGATGCCTCTCGAGCTTCCATCCTGTGCCCTGCCCACCCCCACCCTAGGTCTCCGTCCGTTCAGGGAAGTCTGTGAGTGGGAACCCCACTGACCCAGGGCAGCTCTCCCCCTGGTCCCAGGCCCAGCTGGGCACACCCGTGGTGTGGGGCTGGCCCTGACGCCCTCTGCTGGGGAGCACTGGATACCACCCCCAACATGCACCAGGGCCTCTGTGGGAGGGCGGGGTGGGGCCAGACCCGCCCACCAGGTCCACCTGCCTCCAGCCTGATAGAGTTCCTCCCAGGCTGGCCCAGCTGGCCAGCCGGAGGAAGGTGTAGGCCTCTGAGGTGGTGAAACCCTGACCGGAACCTCCCCCAACCCGCCTGCCCCCCCACCTCCCTGGCGCGGGGAGGCACCCTGTGCGCTTTGCATAATCCTGTGGCTTCACTATCTTCACCCCGCGCGGCTGCAGCTCGGTGGAGGGGAAGGGCAGAGCGGCCACCATGGCGACACCCCTCTCCCACCCCCAGCGGCGCCCTCCTCTCCTCCGCCAGGCCATCAAGATAAGGCGCCGCAGGGTCAGAGATCTGCAGGATCCCCGGGCCCAAACCGCTCAGGAGGTAGGAGTGACCTCAGTGAGGAGGAAGAGTGGCCAGGGTGGGGCTCTAAGGTCTCTGGGTGTGGGGCTCTACCTCTCGCGGGCTGGGGTTGAGGATGTGGTTCCCTTCCCTGCCTGTCGCGGCACCTGGGCAGGGCCTTCTGGGTTGGCAGGCTGGGGTCCGCCATGTGTTCTCTGGGCCATCCTGGGTCTCAGGTCTGGGGTCGGAGCCTCTCTTAGCCCCCTCCCTCTGGAGGGGCCCCCTGCCCACCGCAGCCTCTGGTCTTCCAGCTCCAAAGACACCGGCTCCACTAGACAGGGAGTGTCCCCGCTGTGGGCCGGGCAGCTTGGGGATCAGCTGAGCAGCCCCCAGGCCTGCTTGGCATGACCCCCCTAGTCTCCCACCTCCACTGCTGGGCCTCACTTCCGCCGCGGGGGTGCGGAGCGTGGCCGCCAGATAAGCAGAGCTGCTTCCTCTGGGGAAGGAAGGGAGGTTGGGGCCACGGGTGCAGTGAGCTCACGCTGCTGGGGCAGCTGAGCGCCAATGGACCTCAGCCACGGCAGGCCAGGGGATGAGGAGGGTGGCCCAGGGGCTGGACTCCCAGGAGGCCTGCTGTGGGAACAGGTGTGCGGCACTGGTGGGTTGGAGGCCGGGAACCAGGGACCCCGCAGCCCTGGCCTGGCCTGCTCTGAGGAGCCGTTAATGCTGTCTGAGCCCTGGTGCAGGCCTTGGGGACACCTTGTCTTTTCACTTTACTCCTCAGCTCGAGCCTCCATCCCACCACCTCTCCCCTGAGGAGGTAAGAATCGGAGTACTGGGGGAGGCAGTGGGGTGCTGGGAACACACTCCTCGGCTACTGGCCAAGGCTGATGGCAACAGCAGGGGAGGGGGGCACTTCTAGGCCTAACCCGCCACCCCCCACACACTGTGGGTGCCTTGTCCCAGCTTTGGCCGTGCAGTGTTGGTGCCAGGGTGGCTGGGGGAGGTCACCTTGCAGTGGGCAGACCGGGGTTCCTGAGGTGACCCTGCTGTTGTCTCAGCGGGCCCTGCTCTACGAGGAAGCTCTCTACACCGTCCTGCACCGCCTGGGTCAGCCTGAGCCCAGCCATGTGCGGGAGGCCTCTGAGCTGCTGCAGTACCTGCAGGAGGTGAGTGCAGCCCCCACTCCGCCCACCATCCTGCAGCCCGGACCCAGGAGTCCTCTCTTCCCCACCCAGCCGCCCCCACCCTGCGCCCCTAGCCTCCTACACTCCTACCCTACCAGGCCTTCCACGTGGAGCCCGAGGAGCACCAGCAGATGCTGCAGCAGGTCCAGAAGCTTGAGGTAACCCTGGTCCGGGACCATCCTAGGCTAGGACAGGGGCTGAGAAGCCCAGCTCCCTCTGGGACTCAGGCTCACCCTTCTGTCCTTCTAGAAGCCAATATTTTGTCTGAAGGCAACTGTGAAACAAGCTAAGGGCATTCTGGGCAAAGATGTCAGTGGTGAGTAGGAGGTGAGGGGCCCTGAGGGTCCTCTTCCCAGCTCCTCCTCCTCCCCATCAGTCCGTCCCAGAACTCAGCTGGAACTCGGAACTCCCCGCTCCCAGATGTCCCCCGGGTGCTGCTGGCCCCAGGGCCTTTGAGTCTGGGTTGGGGAGGGACTCTGCCCCTGGGATTGGGGTGATGAGGGAGTCTCCCAGGGAGCCCTGCCAACACCCTGGCAGCCTTGTCCTTTCCCTCCTCCCCAGGATTCAGTGACCCCTACTGCTTGCTGGGCATCGAGCAGGGGGTGGGCGTGCAGGGGGGCAGCCCTGGGTCCCGCCATCGGCAGAAGGCCGTGGTGAAGCACACCATCCCGGAGGAGCAGACCCACCGCACCCAGGTCATCACCCAGACACTCAATCCAGTCTGGGAGGAGACCTTCATCCTGTACGTGGCTCTGCCCCAGCCCCTATCCCCTCAATGAGATCGGCAGGACTTCCTGGCTCAGGGGAGGGGACTTGGCTAGACTGGAGGAGGGGCCTGCTCCCTAGGCCCGAGACAGACAAGGAGGCACAAACACCATGTGTGCTGGGTTGATGTGGCGGGTGGGCCGAAGCTTTACCTTAGGGGAGGGAGGAGGAGTTTGCAAGGAGGGGCTCTGACGGGACAGTGGGTAAGTGGGGGTGGGAGCTTCTGGGGACAGGCTCTGGCCGGGGTCCCGCCCTCCAAGGCCCTCAGTCAGGCCCTTTTCTCCCCATAGGGAGTTTGAGGACATAAGCAACTCGAGCTTCCATCTGGACATGTGGTGAGGGGCATGCGCTGCCCATAGGGGTCAGGGAGAGAAGAGAGGTGGTTCGGGGTGGTGGATCCTCCTCCCAAAGAGGTCAAGGGCTCCCAGGACACCCTCTCTGCCTCCTGCTCAAACCTTTGCCGCCCCCGCAGGGATATGGATACCGTGGAGTCTGTCAGACAGAAGCTCGGGGAGCTCACAGATCTGCACGGGCTGCGAAGGTGAATGCCACGGGAACAGGTTCCTGGGGGAAGGAGTGTGGGCTGCCCTCCCCATGCATGCGAATCGGTTGCTGGGCTACAGGCTCTGTCCAGGCCCAGGGGGCCACAGGAGGGGGACGGATCCCAGCCTGACCCCTCCAGTGTCTTGGCCCACCCCCCTCATGGCCCCTGCCTGGAACAGGATCTTTAAGGAGGCACGGAAGGACAAAGGCCAGGACGATTTTCTGGGGAACGTGGTTGTGAGGCTACAGGTGAGCGGGGTCAGGAAACAGGGATTCGTGTGGGGTTCAAGGGAGGGGCTCTGGGTCCACATCAAGCTGAGCCTGGGGTCGGCCTCCTGTCGCCTCCTCTGCCCCCAACCGTGTGAGGCTTACGCTGCCCGTGGGCGTGGCCCCTCCCGCCTGCCTGGCCCCCGCAGGACCTGCGCTGCCGGGAGGATCACTGGTACCCTCTGGAGCCCTGCACCGAGACCTACCCAGACCGCGGTCAGTGCCACCTCCAGTTCCAGCTCATTCACAAGCGGGTAGGTCTGGGGCCAGGAGCAGAGGTCTTCCAGTGGCCTGCCTGGGTTGGGCAGATGGACTGTG